CATTTTTCGTGTTACATGTGGTGTGAAAGAAGCTAATCGAAAGCAACGGCACGGTTGTGTATATCCGTGTTTGTAAGTGCGTGCGTGTGTGCGCGCGCGTGTGTGTGTTTTGGGGTGCGTGAGTCTCTGTGTGTGTGTGTGTGTGTGTGCGCGCGCGCGCGTGTGTGCCTGTCTGTCTGTGTGTGTTGGGGTGCGCGTGCGCATGTGTGTGTGTGTGTGTGATGGTGTGTGTACATGTGTGTGTTTGGGTGTGTGTGTGCATATGTGTGTCTGTTGAGTGGGTGTATGTGTGTGTGTGTGTGGTGCGTCTGCGTTGGTGTGTGTGTGTTTGGGTGTGCATGTGTATGTGTTGAATGTGTGGTTGTGTGCATATGTATGTGCGTTCTCATTTTCTCTCTCACCTCTCTCAGTGCTCATTTTGAAAATATTAATTAATTTCGTTTGACTACAAAACCACAACTAATATTTAATTCACATTTTAGCAATCCTAACTTCGACAACCAGAAACCAACGCAGGAGATTTAACAACTGTCATCTCTTAACATACAGTTGCTCTCACTGTGTTTCTACCTCTGTGTACAACCAAGGAGTGTGTCCTGAGAACAATGGTGTACAGACGCACCAGGTAGCTTAACTACACAGGAGTCCACGTGGCACGTGACACTGCTAAGTAGGAATTTGATGTTTTTTAGGCAGACATTAACATGAGATGTACATGTCAGAAGGTGTATATTGATTACGGAGGCCAGACCCGAGGGGAACGTGCACTCATGCCAGACAAGTCTCTACATCACCCAGACTTTGTTATCGACAGACCTACACATATATGTTAGCACGTACCTCTCTGTTTACATCCACCAATCATAAATATATCTCTCCATCCAGACCCATCAATCATAAATATATCTCCCTCTGCAGATCCATCAATTATAAATATATATGCTTGTGCAGATCCATCAATCATAAATATATCTCCATATCAAGACCCATCAATCATAAATATATATCTCTATCCAGATCCATCAATCATAAATATATCTTCCTGTGTAGATCCATCAATCATAAATATATCTCCCTGTGCAGATCCATCAATCATAAATATATCTCCCTGTGTAGATCCATCAATCATAAATATATATATCCCTGTGTAGATCCATCAATCATAAATATATCTCCCTGTGCAGATCCATCAATCATAAATATATCTTCCTGTGTAGACCCATCAATCATAAATATATCTCCCTCTGCAGATCCATCAATTATAAATATATATATATATATTCCTTTGCAGATCCATCAATCATAAATATATCTCTCTATCCAGATCCATCAATCATAAATATATATCTCTATCCAGATCCATCAATCATAAATATATATCTCTATCCAGATCCATCAATTATAAATATATATATATATATTCCTTTGCAGATCCATCAATCATAAATATATCTCTCTATCCAGATCCATCAATCATAAATATATCTCTATCCAGATCCATCAATCATAAATATATATCTCTATCCAGATCCATCAATCATAAATATATCTCTGTCCAGACCCATCAACCATAAATATATATCTCTCCATCCAGATCCATCAATCATAAATATATATCTCCATCCAGACCCATCAATCATAATGTATCTCTCTATCCAGACCCATCAATCATAAATATATCTATGTATTCAGATCCATCAATCATAAATATATTCCCCCTGTCCACATCTATCAATAATAAATACAAATGCCTTTAATAAAAATTGATATTGCATCTGTACTTCCGCAGTATGTCGTGTATTCAATATCATCCAGACCTTTGATAACATATTGATATTGGTGTAGGATGTATCTTCTGTTTATGTGTCTCCTTTCTATCCTGACCTAGGTCGATTCCCTTTCTCCCCTGATGTAGGGCGTGTCTCCTTTCTATCCTGACCTAGGTCGATTCCCTTTCTCCCCTGATCTAGGGCGTGTCTCCTTTCTATCCTGACCTAGGTCGATTACCCTTTCTCCCCTGATCTAGGGCGTGTCTCCTTTCTATCCTGAACTAGGTCGATTACCCTTTCTCCCCTGATTTAGGGCGTGTCTCCTTTCTATCCTGACCTAGGTCGATTCCCTTTCTCCCCTGATCTAGGACGTGTCTCCTTTCTATCCTGACCTAGGTCGATTCCCTTTCTCTCCTGATCTAGGACGTGTCTCCTTTTCTATCCTGACCTAGGTCGATTCCCTTTCTCCCCTGATCTAGGACGTGTCTCCTTTCTATCCTGACCTAGGTCGATTCCCTTTCTCTCCTGATCTAGGACGTGTCTCCTTTCCATCCTGACCTAGGTCGATTCCCTTTCTCCCCTGATCTAGGACGTGTCTCCTTTCTATCCTGACCTAGGTCGATTCCCTTTCTCCCCTGATCTAGGACGTGTCTCCTTTCTATCCTGACCTAGGTCGATTCCCTTTCTCCCCTGATCTAGGGCGTGTCTCCTTTCTATCCCGAACTAGGGCGATTCCCTTTCTCTCCTGATGTAGGGCGTGTCTCCTTTCTATCCTGAACTAGGGCGATTCCCTTTCTCTCCTGATGTAGGGTGTGTCTCCTTTCTATCCCGAACTAGGGCGATTCCCTTTCTCTCTTGATGTAGGGTGTGTCTCTTTTCTATTTTGACCTAGGGCGATTCCCTTTCTCTCCTGATGTAGGGCGTGTCTCCTTTCTATCCTGAACTAGGGCGATTCCCTTTCTCCCCTGATCTAGGGCGTGTCTCCTTTCTATCCCGAACTAGAGTGATTGCCTTTCTCCCCTGATGTAGGGTGTGTCTCCTTTCTATTCTGACCTAGGGCGGTTGCCTTTCTCTCCTGATCTAGGATGTGTCCTCTTTCTATCCTGAACTAGGGTGATTCCCTTTCTCCCCTGATTTAGGGCGCGTCTCCTCTCGATCCTGAACTAGGGCGATTCCTTTTCTCCCCTGATCTAGGATGTGTCTCCTCTCTATCCTGAACCAGGGCGATTGCCTTTCTCCTCTGATCTAGGGTGTGTCTCCTTTCTATCCTGAACTAGGACGCTTCACTGTCTCTTCTGATCTAGGATGTCTTCTGTCTATCATGAACTAGGATGATTGCCTTTCTCCCCAGATCTAGTGAGCGTCTCCTTTCTATTCTAACCTAGGGTGATTCCCTTTCCCTCCTGATCTAAGATGCCTCTCCTACTAATTCTATCCTTGGGTGATTCCCTTTCTCTCCCGATCTAAGATGTCTCTCCTGTCTATTCTATCTTGGGGTGATTTCCTTTCTCTCCTGATCTAAGATGTCTCTCCTGTCTATCATATATTGGGGTGATTCGCTTTCTCTCCTGATCTAGGGTGCGTCTCCTGTCTATCCTATTCTTGGGGTGATTTCCTTTCTCTCCTGATCTAGGGTGTGTCACCCGTTTATCCTATTCTTGGGGTGATTCCCTTTCTCTCCTGATCTAAGATGTCTCTCCTGTCTATCATATATTGGGGTGATTTCCTTTCTCTCCTGATCTAGGGTGTGTCACCCGTCTATCCTATTCTTGGGGTGATTCCCTTTCTCTCCTGATCTAAGATGTCTCTCCTGTCTATCATATATTGGGGTGATTCGCTTTCTCTCCTGATCTAGGGTGTGTCACCCGTCTATCCTATTCTTGGGGTGATTCCCTTTCTCTCCTGATCTAAGATGTCTCTCCTGTCTATCATATATTGGGGTGATTTCCTTTCTCTCCTGATCTAGGGTGTGTCACCCGTCTATCCTATTCTTGGGGTGATTCCCTTTCTCTCCTGATCTAAGATGTCTCTCCTGTCTATCCTATTCTGGGGTGATTTCCCCCTCTCTCCTGATCTAGGGCGTGTCTCCTTTCTACCCTGACCTAGGGCGATTCCTTTTCTCTCCTGATCTAGGGTGTGTCTCCTGTCTATCCTAACATAGGGTGATTCCCCTTTCTGTTCTGACCTATGGTGGCGCTAACATCTCCCCTTACCTGAGGTTTCTGTCTCAAAGGCGTCAATTTCTCCTTTCTTTCCTGGCCAAGAACGGGTTTCTTTGTTTTCTGCCCTATAATCCCCTTGCTCTGGGGCGTCTCTTATGACCTACAGTATATTTTCCGTCTCTCTTAGCCTGAGGCCAAGTGTGATTCCCCTTTCACTCCTGACCTACTATCTTCCCTCCGTCTCCACGCCTCCTGTCCCATGTTACATGCACAGTCCCTCGTGGCCTTAAAGCCCGATTCTTTTTTTTCCGCAATCTAATAAAATGACGTTTCACGGCGCTTCTTTGAACAAGCACACCCTGGCTCTAGGAGACAAACACCTGACTCCGTCTCAAGGCGTTAAATAAATATACTTTTCTGGCTATACACACAGACTGTTGTGCAGACCTCTTATTCCTTTTGACAGTCTGCGCTCAGTCACATTTTATACTACGTGGATGTATATTCTAACGAAATTCTAATTATCTAATTATAAAGCATCAGTTTGACGTTTATGTGTATATAATACCAGAGTTAATTTTCCCTTGTTAAAACATAACTGTGAAAATGTAAAACATTGAAAAATTGTATTTGAAATGGAATTAATTATGTCAATTCTTTACAGTATACGTTGACATGTGGCATTTTAATGGCATGTTGATGGAGACGCGTCTCTCACAACACTCGTGGCCATTTTGACATTAAAACGGCTTGGTTATGCAAGGTATTTTATCATGAACACATTGTATTCAAAATATTGCCAGACTAAACAGCACAAAATCAAACCATTTTGCATTAATGCCATAACATTTATGTTATGCTTTTGTCAATACTGAGTACAGAACGTTATTATTTTGTTTGTACTATTTCACCTTCGTGGACCTAGGCTGGTAATTATATGCTAACTAATGACATGGTAAAAAACGGTAGCCTATCTTACCAATGTTGTTTTGAGAGTTATGATGATGTTAGTATATAATATGTCCTTAATTGTTACCCGCTCGTGTTTAACCTACAAAGTCTCACTCACCTTGTTGATCTGTCATTCTATCCAGGTATGATGTGACTGCTGTCGGCGTCTCCTCTCGCCCGGCGTTTTTGGGTCACGTGACCGACCTGACAGCAAGTTTATGTAGAGTTGCTGTCTCAAGTTCTGCTTTAGACAGAAACATGTCTGACGTCACGGGCGATTTCGTAGAAAATTACGAAATGTTTATTCCTCAGTGGGTGCGTTACAGATTCCTTATGGGTGCGTTACAAGATGCACCAGATAAATTACGCATGATGAAGGAGTCGACAGTCAGTATATATTACCCTCCAAAACATACGCGCCATTGATTGTCATGCATCACCACTGTCTGTGCGCATGGATTATGATAAAGCTGATTTATTTTGTTGTTTGTTTGTTTTTGTTATTTGTGTAAAAAACGAATATTATGAATATCTGAAGGATGCAAGAAAACTTAAATGTGAGAAAATAGAATAAATGGTTGAAACATCATTTTAAATGTTAATTTGAAGCTCATGCATTGAGAAATTCAAAATTATTATTTATTTACAGGTGGGTTTAACGTCATACTTACGAATATTTCGCTCATATGAAGACGTGCTTGCGTGTATATGCGTGGCTGCTTGTACTAGCCCCGACTTAAGCTGGTTTTATAGTGCTAGCTCACTTAGATACCATGCCGCAGTTTAGCATGAATACCCCACTCAGACACATTATACTGACTCCCAGCCGACCAGTCCTTGTACCCATTAATGCCGAGCACAGGGACCAACAAGTACCATATTTAACGTGTTTTGGTATGACGCGGCCGGGGATCGAACCCGCGACCTTCCGCTCTCCGGGCTGACGCTCTAACCACTACACCACGTAATATTCATTTACAATATATATATACAAAGATGCAGCCCATAAAGGAGAATACTACGTGTTTAAATGCCGTTCAAGCGCATGATCTCAAAATAGACTATTTCATTTAAATATAATAAAAATTCGCTTAATATTTTTAGTCAAATCCTCTTGATTGTATTCTACATTATATAACTAGTTGGAGAGAGTGATTTAAAAAAAAATGTTTCAGCAATTAGGTCTGTTGTCTGAAAGATAGTACATGTATTTGTGATTAAGGCTCCTCTTCGGGTATGATATAATTAACAGGCGTGCGCCGAATGTTTACCTTAGACATTAAACAGACAAAGGGGGTGGATTTTGGTGCACTTTCGAAACATATTTAAACAATTGATGTGGTTTGCAATACAATAAAACCGTGTGGATCCTTTGTTTTACAGCACTGTAGGCAAATGGGATCGCTGTAGGCAGTCATTATGACTCAGGCGATTTACAGCCTTGACAAGAAAATAAAGGAATAGCAGAAGTGTCAACAATTACCTTAACGAGATAAGCAGGGGCTACGACTCTTACACATAAACCACTTGAAGGCTCTGCAGAGCGACACGTCATACCCATTGTCATCCTGGGGGCGGTGGGGTAGCCTTGTGGTTAAAGCGTTTGCTCGTCACGTCGAAGACCCCGGTTCATTTCTGGTGTCCCCCGCCGTGATATTGCTGGAATATTGCTAAAAGCGGCGTAAAACCATACTCACTCACTCTTTGTCATCCCAGACCAAGGCGTTGTCTCTGAATATTTAAAACTTTGATTGAAACAAATAATCGCATTTAAATCTAAACTCAGTGAGCTGGTGAAAATCTACACTTATTTAGGGCTTTTGTATTGCAGAAACGGCTCAGCAGGAGGGAAAAAATGTGGCTCAGGGACTGCGAGTCGGAGTAGCCGTCGTCCATGCTGTCGGAGAACAATACTTAAAGGGGCATCAGTATCACACAAATTACGTCAAAAACATTGTCATAGTAAAGAACACTGGTGACGTAAAGGGAGAAAATGTAGTGTGCGTAATGCGTTGCCTTTTGCACATGTAAACAGATTCATCATAACAGTAAAATTCTTAAAGGAGGACTCCGAGGGTTATATTGTGAGCCAGACTATGTCAATATAGTAAATACGCTATAACATTTGCGGTAAAAGTAAAATGAGTATGAAGAAAAACATATCAAGCTTGAAAAAATGTTTGCTATGGTGTATTGAAGAATACAATATAAAGATATAAAGAATTTGGATCTAATTTATTTAGCATTTGTAATTATATTTCAAATAGCGTTCAATTGCATCCCCTGATCATGATGGCGTTTGTTAAGGATTGCGGAGCCTCTAATTTTAGTTTAACGCGTAGGTAAGGAAATACGCATGTTAAAATTCAAATATCAAAATACTTCAATACAGATTGAGTGAGTTGGTTTTAATGAACGGACTTTCAGTGATATCACTGCATGTCAACGTCAAAACTCGGCATTCTGATCTCCCTGAGGAACATACAAGCTAAACTGGCAAAAGGAATAACTTTCATACCTGATACTACCGGGTACCCATTTGCTGCAAACTTCAAGCAAAATTACCTCATCTTTTTGTTTTGAAGCCCCTTTGCACAAAGCGTTGCTGAGGATTGCAGCAAAGTCGCTAATGTGGCATTAAACAACACTGCTGCATATATTAAATTCATTACTTTATCAATGCAAGAATCAGCTGCTGAGACAGAAAACCTGCCAGGATAATTTTCTATACTATGAAACTAATCTTCAAACTGAAAACACACCCACGTTACCTTTTCTATTACTGGGTACAGAACAAATTGATAAATTGGATTATTTGAATTTATGAGTCAAGGTTTTCCGTCATTTGAGTGCAGACTTCATCAGTCAATGTGTTCGCTGTGACGACGCGGCTGTAAAATCACAACCCAGACCAATGAGGAAACGAGCTGATATTACAGCTCGTTCAGCTTGACCTGATCAAGTGAATACTAATGCATTGCGTGACCGTGTCACAACTGGTTGGGTCTATTATTGTGAAGGGGTGCATTGATTGTCAACATGTCCGAACAGCCGAGACAAGGTCGCCATTTGACACCCCAGTGTCGAGAAATCGTCAGCAATATCCTAACTTTCTTTAAAAATGAAGCTTCAGATGGTTTATTATTTCTGATTCGAGCTTTTAGGCAGCGAGCAGCAGTATTAATGACATTCTTTGCTCCCCTATTTAATGAAGTTAACTCGACCTGCCGTTTGTGCCATTTGACCTCCCGGGTCATGCATATGTAGAGTAGTAGGGCTGGGACGGGTACTCGAGTACTCGAATCCGGGTCGGGTACAGCTGGAATCGAGTCCTATTTCTAGGAATCGAGTACCCGGAATGGAGAGAACTCTGTAATGACAAGGGCAGATAATAACTTGTCTTTTTCATTATTGACGTAACACACATTTACATCATTGGTATTGTCCGATTAATGGAGGTTATTATTAACGACTGTAAATTATCTGCGCATGTGCAGTGAGTAGTCAAGTTACAGTAACAGTAGGAACGAAAAGTTTATTTTAACGAGCAATGTAAGTAATGGTGTTACTCTTTATATTGGTCAAACAGACGTAAATTATATAGCTTGAGATCATTTTTAATGTCTTATTGCCACCCTTATAAGTTTTCTATAATAATCTCTGTCAAATCGTGAATGAATATTCAGAAAGTTGACAGAAGCGCTGTTTTCCTTACATTTCCGGGTACTCGATTCCGATTCGGGTAAGTACATGCGGGTACTCGATTCCATTTTTTCCTACCCGTCCCAGCCCTATACAGTAGCTCAGGTGAAGCTGTACACGACGACGACGAATTAGATGGTTTAACGTCGGCTTCTGGGGGGCGCCAATTTCGCCGACAAGCTGAACAAGCTTTGTACTGTATATTTGACTAACGCCGCGAAATGGTCAGTCAAGGTTGGTACCCCTCCGCCTCAGGCCAAGTTTCACATTGGTCAAACTCCAGCTTACGTTTCACTCAAAACTCTGTATAAGTAAATGCGTGATCTCATTCTTCAAAACGGCTTGATTACACGAAAACTGGTGGTGCAATAACAACAGTTCTGTTTTCGGAAAGTTTGATATAGCTAAATAGTCAGTGTGAGTTGGATTTTACACCGGTTTTGGCTGTATTCCAGCAATATAATAGCGGTGGAAAGCAAAAAGGGAGCTAAAAAAATTGTACCCATGATGATGTGGAACCGAAATGGGACCTTCATCCTTACCACCAGGTACCCACCCCACTACCACACGGAAGTGGGCTAGGTCTTCTTACCAGTCAACATATCTCTAAGATTTACTTTTCTGTTTCGTCGTAGCAGAGAGTCATATTAATTCAAAGTTCAAAATGTTGCGCACCCTGTTTCTCCAGAATCCCCTCAATATGGACAGTGAATGGTAGATTAGATTTATTAATCCGGAAAGTTCTTCGTTTTTTTGTGGTAATGGCAGTGTCCAGAATCCTGGGGTTAGACTGTACATGATCTCTAACGATCGAACTTAATCAATCCATCACTTCCTTCCTGGCTCTCAGTGGTTCTCTCATTCATTCACTCACTCACAAGGAGGTTGGTATCTTTCTTTTATTGATTCATGTGGTGATTCTGCTGAGATGTGATTTTACATCACCAATTGAAAAAAATATAAATAAGAGACAAGACATGAAATGACATTTGAGTTTCAGTTGTATTATTCCTTGCAAAGTACAAACAATGATTTAAGTATATGGTCTGTCACATGTTCATGAATGATAACATGTACCATCATGTTGTTAGTTAATAAAATATACATTTCTTTCAGATGAGGGAACCAATTTCTGCAACACCCATCACTATTACTGATGACAATGAATGCACAGGGAGTATTGAGTGCACCATGGATTCCACTGACAATGGCTGCAGTCAAGAAGTTAGTAATTGCTATCTAAAATTACAGTTCCTGAGTCACTGATTTGTCATCTGTGAATACTTATTATATGTATACATAAATTCAGTCCTCCCACATTTACATTTCACATAAGTAATGTCACTTTTCAAAGTTTATACCACCATATCCCACTGCCAATCAACTTGACCTTCTGTCATAAAATAATCAGCCAGCTCATCTCGCACTTCTCCTGCATTGCTGGCATTTCTGTTCCCTCCCTGCTGTATGAAACCATGGATAACACTGTGTACATTAGCTGCATCATTAGTGTTATAGATTGGGTCAGAGTTTGATTTGAGAAAGTTGTGTAAT